AGTTTGTAAATAATAATGGCCAAAGAAATATGAAAAACATCAGTCTTAATGATACATTGTATTTGATGACAAGGTCATTGTATCGACCATTGAACATACTAAATGATGATTTCAAACAAAATCATCAATATTTTTTTATTCAAAAAAGTTTAAAAGAAAGATTCTGCAAATTAATGTGTATTAGAAAATTATTGACGGAATAAAATGTTCGTCCTGGTCGCAAGTTCTTTGCAATTTTAGCCCTTTGTACTCTAGTGTACAAAGTATATGCATAAAAGTCATGATCAATATACCGTACACTATTTTCTTCTTCTTGTCCTCTAGATATTGAGAAAAGATTCCATAATAGAATTATGTGGAGTATAAAGGTACTATCAGATATTGATTTTTCAACATTTGCCTCGAAAAAAGAAAGGTAGGTAAGTCTCAAAACTTAAAACTAAATACAGACTTAAGTCATATTTCTCTATGATTCTTTAAATGATATCGAAAAATTAAACAAAATTTTCAAAATGTATGTTTATTTTTATAATACAAACGTGCAACTTTTTGAAGATGTTTCTTTTATAAGAAGTTTTTTTAGATATAGATTTTGATTTTTTAAAAAAGTCTGTTCTTAGTGAAGGTCTCGCAACCTGGAAACAGAATTGTTTTTTAAGTATAAGGAATGTACGGATATACGGTTGTTTTTTTTTTTAAATCAATAATAGATCTGAAAGTTATTCCTAAAACAGGAATAAAACTTTGAAAACTGAAATAAAATGTCTGAAGTAAATTTTAATCAAAAACTGATTTTATTGTATTTTTTCACACAAGTTTACTTGCATTCAGCCTAATTTTCTTTATTAAATATATCAGAAATCAGAAAGACTTTCAATACCTATATACATAAGAAACCTCGACTGTCCGTGGTAGAGTACCGGTACACTACAGGAACTATAATCATTTTTAATAATCGAGGAACATAGAACTTTATACAGGTAATGGTTTGTATTGTTGTTTAAACAGGTATTATTTACAATTACAATTAAAAACAATTTCCCTATTGAATTATTGTAAAAATAAAACAATAAAACAATTGTACATTTAAAATTGATTTGTTTTAATGTTAATAACAAACATCAAGGAAATCTACATATAATCTCCTATTTCTAATTTTTAGTTCAGATACGCCATATATAGCATTAAAACTTTCAAAGTCACGACTTCTTTGTTCACTTTTTAATATTCAAATTATTGACAAACAAGTTGAAACAAGAATATAAGCTAGTTTAAAGTCATCATCTAGTAAGTTCTATGATCGATACAATGACCTTGTCAGCAAATAAAATTTAATCATTGACTCAAATGCTGACTGACATTTTTCATACTAATTGTTGGTCCATTATTTATACACTGAATTGACAACGGATTTTCCCGTTATTCCCAATCATGACAAGGAGCACACGGCGGGTGTGACTGGGTGGCAGGGAATGCTCACTCCTCTGTGGTACCTCTACCCACCTCTGATGTTTTAGAGTTCCGTGTTTGCTATGCTCCAGATTTGTATTATTTGAATGGACTTTTTGAACTTGAATGCCGTTCGCTATCTCCCTATATTTTCTTAACTGAAAATATCACTTTGATTTTTCATACATAATATTTGCATGATTAAACGAACTTTAACTAGAGTCGTGAAATGTTATTTCTATACTCAGACCACAGAGAAGTACTAATTTAGTTGACCATACATTGAAAATGCATTAGTTCTTTCATTTGAAAATTGTTTTTCTTTTACTTCTGGAATCTTGCATCCAAACTGTTAGAAATATTTTTAATGAACCACAAGCTCTCTGTAAAATTCTTTCCCGTAAATGTTTCTTTTCTTTGAACTAAGTTTTAAGGTGAATTAATGCTTTCAAATTCTTAGTGAACCCTTTACACGTTGTTTTGTAAGTAGCTAACATGATGCTCGTATGAGATGATGTAGAAATGATTACCAAATTTATATTCAGCACTTACTCATATATCATTTCTTATAAAAGCTCAAAAACAATTAAAATTATTATGTTTGATAAAATGAGGACAAAAATCATCGTCTATAATTTATGTCATAAAAGTGAATAATGTAAATAGATTTTGTCAATCCTTCCCGAATTGATAGATCTAATGTGTATTTGGTAATATAAAACATTTTGTTCAATCTAACATTGACACATTTATGCTACTTTTATTAACCCAGCTTCATACCCTACATAAGCATGTTGAATTTTTTCACACTCGGAAAAATATACTAACAACTTCTTTTGTCTTGGCAAGAATAAGTTGTCTTCAAGTAATTAAGAGAGATCCAATTTAACTTGGTTGACGTGAATATTAAAAGTATTACATATTGAAATGTGATTTTGAAGAATTTCATCTATCGAACTTGAACTGTGAGTATAAGTTTAATTTCCTGACGTAGCAATTTAAAAAACAAACTTCTTCTAATACAGCCATAATAATGGGCCTTAAAAATGAAGACGATATTGTTAAAAGCCTTGTCTGCTGCAACATTAAGAACATTAAAAGATCAAAGTGAAAAAAAATCCTTGGATTTATCACTCGATGCCGAATCTATAATTATAAATAATGGCATTATGATAACAGAAGAGAAATTATTCGTATCTATTTATATTTATTTTTATCACTCAATCATATTTTCAAAACATCTTCAAAGGTTTTTTGTATATAAAAATTTGGAAAGAAAAAGATTATATAGAGTATGTTGTCAGATTATAGTTCAATACACTGTATACCCTTTCACGAACAGAAAACAGCATAATATCCTGTCTTCCTTTAAAAGGCAAATGTTTCAATTCAGTCTTTCTATTATATGCTTGCATATGATTGATTTTTTGTGAGGTTTGGGAAAACGCTAAAATTATGTGGAGAAAAGTAAAATACCTTTCTTCCTCTTCAATGTCCCAAGTCATGCAAGTCATATTTATGTTCTTAATATTTCTTGGAAAATAATATTGTCATGATTTTTTTTCAAAAGGTCGTTCAAATATCATTTGATACCCAAATTGCATATGAAATCAATAGGGTAAATGACTCATAAAATTGATAACCAACTGGCTAGTCTGTTAGTCCTCGAATCAAATACAATCTTTTTGATACTTTCTTAAAATTAACAAAAAGTAAATGAATTCTTTGTGCATGTGTTATTTGATCTTTTCGGAAGATTTTGTATTTATATGTTCTCCAAACAAGCAGATGTTGATATTGATATTTGTTGAATTTCTTTCTTTGGATAAGAAATATTTCGAGATGAGTTTCATCTATTGATGAAATAATAGTGTGTTGTGTGTTTGTGTGTTGTTGTTTTTTTTAAATCAAGAAACATATGGAGATAACGAAGAATATTCCAGATCAAAAGTCCATAAAAAAATACAAAACAGGAGCAGGGCAAACATGGACCTCCAAAACAGCAGAGGTGGGATCAGGTGCCCTGGAGGAGTGAGCTTCCCTGCCGACCGGTCGCACGCCCCATGTGCTTCTTGTCACGATCGGGAAATAACGGAAAAATTCGTCGTCATTTCAGTGGACTAACAATTAGCATGAAAAAAAGTCAGTCGGGATTTGACTCAATGATAAATTGTTTTTGCTGACGAGGTCTTTGTATCGACTCTAGAATTTCATTGATGATCTCCAGGCAAGTACCTATAGTTATTCCGATATGAGAGGTCCTAAATACGCAGAAATCTGCTCATTATTTTCATTTTATTTCAGCTTAAAGGCATGTTTCGTGAGAACAATCTCATACGTGTCTGGTAAATAGCAAAGTTCCAAGATATTGATAAATGAAATGCATGTTATTTTCTCGGTATTTCAAAATTTGAATGATTTGACATGCTTTGCAAGTGCTCGTCTTAGACAATAAGAATGATTCGATTAATGAAGTGTATATACATGCAGTCCATTTCATTAAAAATGAAATTTTGTCGTATTCATGAAAAATATAGCTTTGATTACGATTTTTTTTAATGATGACTTCGCACTCAGTATGAAGATTATCAAGTCAATAATCTTTTTGAAGGCCTTATTTCTAATGTCCCAAATATGTCCCAAAAAGAACATCTGCTAGATTCCACATATTAGGCCTTTCTACATTTATATTTCGACGCACAACCAAGATTCCACCCAATTTTCTATCGGCAGATTTGCAATATTAAATTTATTTCTAGAGTTTTTAAGAGAAAGTTTCCCTTCGGATGAGACCTAAAGAAAACCGAAGCCCCCTTTTCAGGGAGGCGTTGGCACAATAAAGAACCGTCACTACTCAATGACCCTGGGTGCCGAGTTAAGGTCTTAATTTGAGGTCATACGCCGGTATAGGCGACGTCTCTAAATGAGTGAAAAATTTTGGAATGGGGACGTTAACCAACAAGCAATCAATCAACCATTTTAGGGGGAAGATTTGCAGTTTTATCCGTGAAAATTGGTTGCATTGAAAATAATCCAGATGATGTTTTATGGTACATTGTTGCAAAGTTAGTGTACCAGGGGAACATTTTATATGGAAAATGTTTGCTATTGATCACTAGGATGTAAACACCAAACATTTAGTATTTCCTTGTACATATAAATAGTTTATAATTTTGATATCTCTTTTACAATTTTAAACAGATGTTGTTGGTCTTATTCTTGCAAATTGCAGGATAGCTTGTTGGATTTATAAAAACATAAGATGACGTTATAAATGACAAACGATAGTTGGACTAAATAAGTAGTCATGTATTGCAATAAGTCTATATTAACAAAAAGGGTGTTGGCAAAGAATAAAGTAAGATTGAAAATAAAAGTTTTATAAGTGGTGAATACACAGATCGGTATTTCTTGATATTGAAAGAAAATATTAATACGCAGACCATGACTATGGTTGCCCTATAGAAAAAGTCCATATTGAAGTTTGAGATGTCTTGAGTTCATTGTCATTCATGCCTTTGTTTTGAATTGCGTATCAGACCAGTTTCTGATAGAAATTTCCCTGTACATCATTCAGTGTACATAGGTGCTCTGTTCTCTCGTGAACTGTTTAGAAATCCTATATTGATAACTCTGTACTACACTGCTAGAGCGATTTTCTGTAGAAAAACGTACGACAGTTTCATCCAAAAATCGGCTTCTCTGTCTGCGACCAAAACACATAAAGCCTAGTGCAATGATAAACGCCTTCCTAAAATTCTTGGACATGAACCCATAGACAATTGGGTTGACACAACTATTAAAGTACGATAACACATAAAACGCTTGGCGGACGTGTTTCAACGTTCCCATGTGCAAGTTGTCTAGGATGTCAAAGGATACCAAGAGATTGTTGGTCGTTATTGGTCCCCAGGAGATCATAAAAAGGATGATAATGGTTACAAGCATCTTCACGACCTAGATGTGAAAAAATAAAAGTCAAGTAATCTGATCTTAGAACTTCAATTAATTCCAAAGTTATGGCACATCAAGTCTCAATATTTTTAAAGCAATGACCATAATGGGATCTGAATAAATTTGTTAACTGTTAAATCGGTCACAAAATATAATTCGTTATATATTCAGATCTATCAAATAAAACTGCCATATCTGCAGATACAAATACTTGGTTACCTAATTACTTTGCCCTTTGAGAAAGAATAAAAAAATTATTTTAAAGATGGTCTAAGCTATTGTGGATAAAATTGGTATATTTCTATAACATTAAAATACAGTTTGAATAAATAATCCCTTTGGGAAAAAATGATATCTTAATTAAAAAACAGTTGTCAATGTTTACAATTTTTAAACAACATGTATCTTTTTTGTGAAAATGACAACTGGTTCTTGCAGTTATGCTAGAAATGATCAATTATTCATGACTTTCTCCACGTGCAACCTACCTGCTTCCTGGAATAAGTATCATCGCCATGAATCCCTCTGTTGGTGATGGTTTTTTTGTCTCGTCTTGACAACACTCGTCGAAGTTGGACAGTCTCTTGATTGTCATTGACATTGCTAAGGCGTGAATTAAAACTAAGTGTATAGTTTGTAACATTAATGCTATCTTATCAATTTTGTGATCCCGACGACTTTTTTGTGATTATATTAATTATATATCACAAAGAAAATGGAACAGCTGTTTTGGTTTACTTCACGTCACAGGCAAAAATCAAGTAATGCTTATATACATGTGTACATAACTGAAGTATTTTTAAAAGTACTGTTTTACCCTATATTTTGGTCGCGTCCATCCATTTTCCATAGTTTTCTACAGATGCTGGTGTAAGTGAAACTTAGAATCACGAATGGGACGAACAAGATGATCAGGAACATGTAAACACCATACAATCTCTGTACAAAGATATTGTCCCACTCCAATATACACCAATGGGCATTCCGGTGTGTACCTACCAACTTGTGAGTCTAATAAAACAGTGACAAGAATATTACAAATATATTACATTCTAGTGAGCTTTATCTTAGTCAGCTATGGTTTTTTTTTTGGGGGGGGGGGTAACAATTTCCAATACTATACACTTTTTCAATACATGTGCCATTATTTCTTGTAAACTTTTAAATTTGATTCCTCATATTTCTTTTTTGGTAAAACACGGTTTCCATTTTAATGATGAAATCACGTCCCTAGAGCTATATAAATTGACAGCAGACAACATTGATTAGTGATATAAAAAAGAATTGACAGAGCAGAAACTATATGCATGCGTTTCACCTGTATTTTCTGTGCATTAAACATTCAGTATAATATAATAAATATTGGGTTGATTATGATAACCTTGGAGTAAAAATTTATAATCTTTACTTTCAACTAGATGCCATATTTATTATTTTATTTTATATGTGATGTTTTATATAAATACATGTTACAGGGAACAATACGTGCATAAATTCTTTACAGTTTTTTAAAATGTCAAGTACTTTTAATTATTGCTATATTCTATTAGGAGAATGCTATTTATCAATCACAAGGTAATGTGTTTTTAAACTATGTATCTTGAAGGATCAGGTTCAGCTAACGAACATTGAATTATAGCATTATCACATTGTATAAAGGCACCTGTTTCTGTTGTATTTCTACTGCATGCAATACTGGCACTATAGAAACAAATGAAAGCAAATAAGAACTGTAAGAAGAGTATTGGCTCTTTGCTCACCGCAATAAGCTAACGATTATTTTTCTTTCCTTAATTGTCTTAATAATATACCCGGTACAAAGAATGACTCAGCGATGTTGTTACATGGTAAAATGTTGAATTAAATGAATTTTATTCTGTATAACTCATGTAACTCGTCTATACACAGTTCAATTTACCTGGCCTGCAAGAGTTGGGGTTGCCATGATGACGCTCAGAATCCAAATGCAGGCAACACTTCGTCTTGCTAGACTTATCGTACAAACATACTTAGACTTTATCGGATGGAGAATAGCATAGTATCTGAAAATGTAAAGTAAATTCTAGATATGAACCTAAAGCAATATGAGCTGCATTTTTGAGAATTTTACTTTGCAGGTAAAATGCGTTATTATGATTAATTTTTATGTAATTTAAACCCTTATGAACAATAAGACCAAAATAAAGTTTAAAAATGTTTCACAAAAAATGTTTCTGTACAATCAAATATACAGTATTTAATATCAGAAATGATTTTTGTACAGGACGACAGACAATAATGCAATTTTGCTTCAATCAAAGCTTATAAAGAGTTCTTCCAACGTTAATATACACAACGGAAGTTTATAAAAGTTCAATTTTTTCTGTCATTGAAATAGTTTATTACAAATTTGCAACAAAATTTTTCAATGTCAAACATGCAGCTCATATTGCTGCTTTAATTTATAGTGCCATGAAGAGCTAACAAGTCATGACTGTCTGACATACAAACTGATATTATTTTCTTGAGAGGTCCATTTAATGAAATGCACTTTTATAGCAGCCTTTTGTTGTGTAGACTTTGGGGATATACATGATTTCAAACTTTGGCCAAAACTGTTAAGCTATATTGGAGCTAGGGCTTTTATATTACACATGCTCGAAATATGGCTGAAATATTGCCGACTTGGTGATAAACACCAATCGATCGATCAATGTACTATAGTAATCATCCACACAATGTCAGGGCTTTGTGATTTCAGAACTTTCATATATTCAGACCTTTTATTAGATATCATCATTTTTACCATTGGTCTATGTTTTAACCTACATTTAAATTTAAAAAACTTTACTTTTGGCGTTGAGCTGACATATTTAGAAATCTGTATTTCAAAAATTCATCATTTTCTCTGATTTTCTTAATATCAGAATGAGAAATAAAACGAATTGTACAAAATATGAGGATTGGTACAAGCACAGGCACCAAACTCGCTTGAATTTTTGAACCCCAGAACATTATAATATAATATACCAGAGGGTCAAAAATTCAAGCGAGTTTGGTGCCTGTGTCATGAAATATCAGACTCTTGAAATACCCTTTTTATCATAATCATCGTAATGAAATTACTCACAAATCAAGCAATGGCTGAATATCACACATAATGACATTTTTCAACTTAAGAAAAGAAAGTTGATTGACTTCAAAACTTCGACCTTGTCAGACGTATCTTTTGATTGAAGAAAAACAAGATTCGATGTGGTATCATAATGAAGCTATTTAATGATATCCTCCTAAGGAACGCATTAGGATACAGTAAAGTAATAGGTTTTTTATTAGCTTAAAGTTTGCAACAAAAGAAGACAGGAAATTACATAATGGATGCCTTGAATGTGATTTACCCATATAACAAAAACGAACCACTCGGTTCAATAATTTATTTATTGCAGTCTGTGCATGGTACTTAATTAGGATAACAAACCCAAACTCAGTTGACTTCATATATGTTATTATTAATAATGAAGGAAAAAAATCTAAAAATACTGCTCATTCATATCGATCGTACTTATTCCTTGTGTATTAAGTCTAATCTTATACATGTAATTATCTGTAATTAAAATGTAATTAATAACACGATCAATATTCACTCTCGATGAAAAGTGCAATGCAAGCAAACATCAAAATTGCTTGATTATAAACACAGTTAAATTATGTACATGTATTTTTAATTATCAGTGTGTATGTCTGCGTGTGCTAGGGCCCTGGGAGTGTAAGGGGTGTTTATCCAAGATGAATGATTGTCCTTTTGTCTTTCGTGCATAGTGTTCTATTTTCGATTGTTTTGCGAATTGCTGCTTCCTTCGTTATAGCCAATCCTTGCGTACTTGATTGGTTCTAAATCTTTGTGAATATGTATGATACCTAATAGATTATATGGTAAAATGCAGGCGTATTATCTTGGAAGGAACCCAGTCTATTGTACTTGACCCAGTTTGGGATTCTCATTCAAAACTTGTAATCATGAGACTGATCGAACGAAATAATGTTATAGGATTTTAATTCTTAACACACAAAGAATTAATTAATATTTTCATAATATGTGTGCTTCGCAATATCATAATTTGCTTTTAAAATTTTTTTTTATTTCTATAAATCGGGTTGATGACGAAATTGCTAGCTATCAATATGTCAAGGAACATAAGGTGAGTATGAGCTGTAGGCAGGGAATGCTTAGTCCTCCAAGGCACCTAATTCCACCTCTATGTTTTGGGAGGTATGTGTTTGTTCTGCTGCATACTTGTATTGTTTTGATGGGCTTTGGCTTGAACTGTTCCTTATCCCCATACCGGGTATTTTGTTTAAACTTTCACTTGATCTGATTGTTAAAGAATTTTCCTATTTGACAAAAAAAAAATACCTTTCTAGACTCAATCCTGTCAGTGTCATGACGGAGCAGATTATAGACAAATTCTGAAGGTAGTTCACAAACTTGCAAAGGAACTCTCCAAGTCTCCAGGAATAAGTAAAGAAAGCTATACACTGAAAAGAAAATCAACACGAATAAAGTAATTATACGAAATTCAAATCTAGGGGTATATAAACATAACTTAATTTTAAACAATAAAAAATAACGAAAACAAATTTGCAGAAAACGTAAACTTTTCATGTTTAAAATGTCTTCAATGATTACAATCATTTTACCCAATGTTACACAATAGAGACATTTTATTGTCAGTATTTTCATCGTTGTACGCGGTACTGTAATTACATTTGTACAACAACTTGTATTCGCGATGGAGTAATAATGTATTTATAAGCGGGACAAAAATTTACACGAATTCCTATGGAACGCCGGGACTGTCTTATATGAGGATTAAATATTATATGCAGTGCTTCCTATATTATATGCAGTACTATTTTTATTATATGAAGTAGTTTTTACTTTATATTGTGTACAACCTCCATTATATACAGTACTTCTCTCATTATATGATGTAGATATGTCATTATATTATGTACATCTATCATTATATGAAGTGCTTTTAACATTATATGCGGTAGTTCGATCATTATATGCGGTGGTTCTAACATTATATGCGGTAGTTCTAACATTATATGCAGTAAACACAACAATATATTATGTACTTCTCACATTATATACAGTACATTCATCATTATGTGTAGTATTTCTGTTATTATGATGATGCTGATCATTAAATATTATGTCCGGTCCAGTTAGCATTCCGTGCGTTAGATTTTGCATTTCTTTATGATGTAGACACAGTATTATATGCGGTGCTTTCTTCTTTATGATGATGATCTTTCGGAAGCTACCCTTCGGAACTCTCTGTTCAAGGTTCTTCTTTCTATCAACTGTTTAATTCAGTACAATAAAAATACATGCGCGTATTATTTATGTCTCTGATTAAAGTGGTGAATAACAAATGCTACGTTAACTTATTAAATTGTTTTAGAAGATAAGAAGTAGGGTAATAGAGTAAAATAAAATGCCATCTATTTTATGGTATGAAGTAAAAAGAGAGAGAGAGAGAGAGAGAGAAGGGGAGTGGGAAAAAAATGAGAGATTTTTTTTTCTTGTGAACAATATGGCATTCAAAAAGATTCATTTCATATGTAGGACAATCAATTTCAAAATTAAAAAAAAATGAAAAAAAAATAACTGATGTCTTCGAGTACGCAGGTCTTTAACAGTGCGTTATAGAAAACATTACATTATTTATTTACTTGTATTTAGGGGTGGGGTGTGCTAATTTTTCATAATTTAAAATTACCCTTCATCTCTCAATTTAATAGGCACAAGGGTTTCTACCACATATTTTTTAAAAAGTAAATTCTTGAAGTACAATCCACGACGACTCAATACAGTGACGTAGACGTTGTTTTTGAAAGTGGGGGGAAGGGGGAGGGGGGCAGCCGGATAAAAAAAATAACTCAAGTTACCTGAACAAAGTGGACAAGTAAAACACATTGAGAATTTTCAATAGTAAAAGTTATGTTTAGGAAAAGGGGGAGGGTGTTACTACGCGCGTGTATAATGTCTGCTCTGAAAATCGCATGTCTTTTCCTGATGCATATCATTTATAAAGTACAGTTAAAGACAGTGAATATCATACATTTTTTATATGCCAAAGTTTAACAATAAATACAATGGAATGGTAAAAATATTTCAATGATATGCGCATCTCTCTCTCTCTCTCTCTCTCTCTCTCTCAATGTAATTAAACTACTGAGGTATTGACATGACTTCGAAATTCCTTTAATTAATGTAGGGATAAATCTAGTTAATAAGTCAACGAAATCTTAACAAGCTTGAAATTCAACCATACTTAATTTTTACCAATTCCAAAAATCTTTGTTCTATTTTAACTGGATTGAAAATAATTGTCCACACCATAAAGATAGAGGTTGGCAGATTATGTTACTCAAGAGATGAAATATATTGTATCAAATGTTGTTGAAGATGAGCATAATTTTTTTATTTGTTTGTGCCCTCTTTATAAACAACTAATCATGCGCAAATCTAGAGGGGTTGGGGTCAAAACACCCACCCCTGGACTTTGCAAATACTAAAGCAAGAAAAAGGTAACATTGGACCACCCTCGGAAATCGCAGACCCCCGCCCCCTAGTAACCGCGAATTTGTGTTAAATTGGTATGAAAATCCAGAGGTTTGAAAAACTAGAAGTCATTGACCCCCCCCCCCCAACACTAATAGGTATTCAAAATTTAGGCGATTGTACGTTTTTTCGGGGGTGGGGGTGGATTTTATTTTTTAGGACTGAGGTGACCCCCCCTTCCCCCTAAAAAAATTCTGGATCCGCGCCTGAACTAATAAGTGAATTTTGTACACTTTTCAAAAATACATGTATAACTTATGAAATTCTTAATTCAGCAGATGTTAAATATGCAAGAAATATTTGTAACTTCATACGTGTTGCCAATCTCCCATGCAGAGTTGTCGTTCGTTTCTCTCTCAAACACTGAATGTATGAGCCGATGGTAGAGAGTGACGTGTTGCATTTAATTAATATAAGAAAATCCATGTGACTATATTAATTATTATTTTTGTTTACATGCGCCACATGTGGTTTTTGTCAAACTAAATAAATAAAAAAATATATAACCTAAAACCATGAAGAATATCCATATCTTAGAACGCAAAAAGTAAAACTTTCTAAATATAACAGAGGGGTTTCCGAAGGATAGCTTCCGAAAGATCATCATCATAAAGAAGAAAGCACCGCATATAATACTGTGTCTACATCATAAAGAAATGCAAAATCTAACGCACGGAATGCTAACTGGACCGGACATAATATTTAATGATCAGCATCATCATAATAACAGAAATACTACACATAATGATGAATGTACTGTATATAATGTGAGAAGTACATAATATATTGTTGTGTTTCTGCATATAATGTTAGAACTACCGCATATAATGTTTGAACTACCGCATATAATGATCGAACTACCGCATATAATGTTAAAAGCACTTCATATAATGATAGATGTACATAATATAATGACATATCTACATCATATAATGAGAGAAGTATTGTATATAATGGAGGTTGTACACAATATAAAGTAAAAACTACTTCATATAATAAAAATAGTACCGCATATAATAAAGGAAGCACTGCATATAATATTTAATCCTCATATAAGACAGTCTCGGCGTTCCATAAAATTCCAACGTTCTCCAGAACCTTTAGTAGTATTGATTCAAATAGTATGATGAATATTTTGCGAGAAAAGAAACTTGCGTAATTACACGGAAGCAAGATCTAGCTAATTATGTTCCCCAAACGAAGTTGGGGAACATATTGTTTTTACTCTGTTTCTTATTATTATTATGTTCCCCAAACGAAGTTGGGGAACATATTGTTTTTACTCTGTTTCTTATTATGTTCCCCAAACGAAGTTGGGGAACATATTGTTTTTACTCTGTTTCTTATTATTATTATTCTTATTATGTTCCCCAAACGAAGTTGGGGAACATATTGTTTTTACTCTGTTTCTTATTATTATGTTCCCCAAACGAAGTTGGGGAACATATTGTTTTTACTCTGTTTCTTATTATTATTATGTCGCCCCGAACGAAGTCGGGGACGACATATTGATATTGTACGCATGTTTTTTTTATCCAGGCTGTTTCTCGGAGATGGCTGGGACAATCTTCCTGAAACTTTCCTCAAAGGACGATCACTGGTTGTAGTTGTGCAGTGAGGTCGTTCAGTTCCAATATGTCTACCGTTGCCATGGAAACCTGTAAAAAGCGACGAATTTTGTCCGAGAGTGTTCTCTCTGGTCCCTTAAATGTTCGTCATGAAACTTTTCTTATTTTAATGATTAGTATCTGTATTTGTGCGCCTCGCATTTAAAATTTTCAAATAATCAATTATTGCCATGGAAACCAGGTGAAAGTTAAAATTCTTTAATATCGATTTTCTCAATAACTACTCAGGCAATCGTTTTGAAACTTTCAAAGTTTATTCCTTGCAATGTGTCAAAGTGATTTCTACTTTCAAAATAATTGTAATGAGTCGCTCACAGTTGCCATAGAAACGAAACATAAAAAAAGATTCAGATGTACACATGTGTTCTCCAAGGTCTAGGTCAAAGGGTCAAAGTTCGTCGTATCCAATAAAAGTTCTTTTCACAAGGATTACATATTTGAAATATGAAAGCCCTAGTACTTACCGTTCAAACGTTATGGCTATTTACTATGTTCAAGACGACACCCCCCCCCCCTTTTTGAAGCACACAGCCAAGTAGAATACACAGATATAACATATACAACTTACAAGTAATTTTTTAAAATCTTCATTCATAAAACTCAGTTCCCGTCATGTGATATTTTGCCATCATTCATTCTCCTTCTGTTTTGTCTCTTGAATTTATAAATATTTTATTTTATCTATATAAAAAAAAATTAACGATTGTCAGCTGCATTTATTATCATTTCGCGTTTTCTTGTATATCTATCACTTGTATATTATTCATTTCATTAGATAGTGCAAGTATAAATTAAAAAATTGGTACATCATTTCCATAGTTTTAATTTATTCATAAATCCTTTGATCCGCTCCTGAAGGTTCGCGAAGCCTTGATCACCACTGTATACAAAACATTCATATCGCCGAAAATGTTCATGATTCCGCTAAACTGAGAAAGTTTACACATGATTTATCTTCTCATAACAACATCAGCTCTCTGCAATGCAGAAATGCTCGAATTGAAGGGGAAAATTCAGGAGTTATTGATGAGAAAAATTCAGGAGTTATTATGTCGCCCCGAACGAAGTCGGGGACGACATATTGATATTGTACGCATGTTTTTTTTATCCAGGCTGTTTCTCGGAGATGGCTGGGACAATCTTCCTGAAACTTTCCTCAAAGGACGATCACTGGTTGTAGTTGTGCAGTGAGGTCGTTCAGTTCCAATATGTCTACCGTTGCCATGGAAACCTGTAAAAAGCGACGAATTTTGTCCGAGAGTGTTCTCTCTGGT